GAGCTGGTCCACTGTTCCACAACCAGGACGAAAACCACACTCCTTTTCCTGAGTCCGAGGTTCGACTATTCGAYGGACCCTCCTGTCTAGAACCCCCTACTAGACCTTACCACGGAGGCTCAGAAGTGTGATCCCCCTACAATTGGAACACACTCCGCGGCCCCACTTTTTAAATAGGGGGACCACCACCCCGGTCTGCCAATCCAGGGGAACTACCYCCGATGTCCACGCAATAGTGTAGAGTCGCGTCAACCWATGCAACCCCACAACGTCCAGAGCCTTAAGGAAATCCAGGCGAATCTCATACACCCCCGGCGCCTTGCCACTGAGGAGCTTTTTCAATCACCTCAGTGACCTCGGCACCAGAGATTGGAGAGTCCGACCTAGGGTCCTCAGGACCCCGGTTTTCCATTTAAATTACTCTAAGTTCTTAGCTAGACATAGACGTTTGGTATCTACAGAAATGTCAGAATCTTGGCTACAAGCTGGTAGAAACTATGTCTATGAACATCCAAGACAGTTGAGCAGTTGAAGATAAAACTATGAAAGTGAAAATAAAATTGGTTTAAAAATTTAGCAAGTCAGAGATGTTGAAARTAATATTTGTGTCAAATATGAGGCATAATGTGTTTTTTGTTGTTGTTGTTTAATTAGCACTACTTTTATATGTTTCTGTATGTTGTACTCATGATTAAGTGCAGCAAAATAAACTATTTCAAAGGTAACAGATTTTTGTAATACTTGGTTTATTTACATAATGACTTTAATTGCTGGATGTTCAGCCCTCCTCTGTTGGCCTGCAGTAACCGTGGCCCCGGGAGCAGTTTAGTTGAATAGCCCTGATTTACCGGTGTACACATTATTAACGCTCTCTCAAATGGTTGGACAACTGGAGTGGATTCTACTGTGAGTCAGTGTTAATACCGTAACAGAAAAAGATGTTTCTAGAGCAAATTTCGAATCACAGGAAAGTTCAGTTGAAATGTTGGCTGGAGGTTCAAGGTCTTTGACAGACTAGGAATGCAAGTGGAATTATTACAAATGTTGGCGTTTTACCAATGTTTTATACCATAGCATGCCGCATCTATCGCGTGTGTGTCTGTGTGTGTGTTTGTGTGTGTGTCTATAAGTTAACTCAATTTACAATACAATTAATCCCATCATTTTACCCAAATATGTCAAAGGCAGCTGTATCCATTATGTTACCTCTGGCAGAGGACAACAAGCCCAAGAACCCTCTTTGGTTTTACAGCAGGTGGTGCCATCAGGACAGCCCACTTTGTCATCACACGGGACAACCTTCACCTCCGTCTGAAC